CTTTATAGAAGGAAGTTAATATATCCATATTTTAACATATCCTAAAGAAAGAAAAATTGTTGCCATTTTGCCTATTTACGAATATCAAGAAGTTCTCTTATCATTGTATTATTATTTTGATGGAATGAGGCGCTATTTCACAGTGCACCTAACGTGCTTTGCTTCGATAAAACATGATATGTGATCTCATTATTAAGAAGTGATAAGCCTGTATTCCGTAATTGGTTCTAGGTTATAAATGCTGTAATTATAGACCGATTCTAAATTTACTGTGTTTGTAACGAGCTGTGTGAAGCATTTGATTCAGTATTTGTCTTAGAAATTGTTAGTACGTGGTTTGTTGTCTTGTGTAGGTCATGCAGGTGGATTTGTATTAGTTGCAGCCCATTTTCTACCAACATTGCGTCTTTTTATTGCATTGGCCTTGCTATTAGATCAATGGCTTGCATAAACACCCGCTTTTGTATTCATGAATCTCCAAAACAGATCCTATGAACACACATGATTATGATACATGTTTAGTTAATCTCGTCTCTAGATGAATTATTACCTAAATCCCTGATCCCTACCATGTACTACCAGTTAATGTGAATGTTTTTTATTCATGTTACATATTGATTGCGGCTAACTTCATGCCTCTACCCCGGCAAAAAAAAACTTCATGCCTCTACCATGTACTACCAGTTAATGTGAATGTTTTTTATTCATGTTACATTTTGATTGTGGCTAACTTCATGCCTCTGTGCTCTTTTGTCCACAAGGGTGTGAGATGGAGACCCACAACGAACCAAAGAAAAGCCAAGCCGACGCATGGGAGTTAGCCAACAGGCTAAACGAGAACGCGCAGCATATTCATATGATACTAAGTGGAGAGGCTATGGAGACCCACAACGAACCAAAGAAAAGCCAAGCCGACGCATGGGAGTTAGCCAACAGGCTAAACGAGAACGCGCAGCATATTCATATGATACTAAGTGGAGAGGCTGATGAAGATGGTGGCCACCACAATGCTCCTGCCTATGCCGTCTCACCTGATGCAATGGAGACCACTCGGCAGAAAGCCGACGAGCTGATCAAGTCGCTAGGTGGGCTCGTGAGCTACTTGAACCAGTTCACCGATCTGATCAAGGAAAACGGGATCGAGGACGTCGTCGGTGTGAACTGACTGATCAAATGCCAGCCTGAAGGGTCGAATCATGCCAGCCTGATCGTCCGTCTCTGTCCCTCTCCATGTCCCCTCTCTCTGTAAACATGAGGGCTATGTAGGATGCTTCTAATCAAATGATGTAGGTTTGTAGCAGACATCTGTATGTGCGTTGGCGCCACTATCTGTTTCACCCCCTGCCTGATGCTTACAGAGACATTGGCTGGATCAGTTTATCTGCTGTTCTGTGTGATTTCTCTTCAATTGGCCTTAGGATACCATACGAGATAGTTTTTTCCTCTTTGAAATAGAGGCATAAGATTTGCCTCTTCCATTAAGTAAGAAGAGAATAGAGTTTTACAAGTGACCCACAATCATGGCATAAAAACTACTCGCGCAAAACAATATGCCCTAGTTTCTTAGTACCCGCGGTAACCCAAAGATTAGCCTTCTGAGGAGGATTGGTGGTGCTGCACTCTTGTGGCGGAACACACGAGTCTCCATATTATCCAAGAGACGAGTATGATGAGGGAGGCCATAGCTCGCCTATTAGGGCTTATCCCACCATTCCATGACGGATCCCTCAAAGTGCCAAGTGGAGGTGTCCATGTGCAGAAACCCGAACTTCTAAATGCTTAATAGTGTAGCGGCACTTGATGAGGAGGTAAACGTCCATTTCTTGCTCCCTTTTGCAAAGAGGGTAAATGTCACAATTTGCCAGACCACGCCACTCTAAATGATGGACGGTCAAAATCCGGTCTTGCAAAGCCAACCATGCGAAGAATTTAGCCTTTGAAGGGGCGCAAAGTTCCCAAACCATGGAGTCCATGGGGGATTCAATCCAAGGAATTGCATCTTGTATGTGGTGGCTATCGAGTAGAGCCCATCCATGGAGTGCTTCCAAACAATGTCATCTTCGTCTTGTTCGTCAAATTGGAAATCATGCACAAGCATCCAAAGAGTGAAAAATTCCTGGATGTGGTCTCCAAAGACGACAGTGTCGTGGTTGCTCTTTAACATCCAAGCGTTCGCGTTGAGAGCTGCATGCACTTTTTAGTTCTTTCTCCTCGAGGCCTCATAAATTAGTGGGGCAATATCCTTAGGCTTGCACCCAAGTAGCCAAGGGGAGTCCCGAATAGATGTTTTTGCACCATTGCCGATGATGATAGTGGTGGAGGCTGTTGAAAATATGCCCTAGAGGCAATAATAAATTAGTTATTATTATATTTCCTTGTTCATGATAATCGTTTATTATCCATACTAGAATTGTATTGATAGGAAACTCAGATACATGTGTGGATACATAGACAACACCATGTCCCTAGTAAGCCTCTAGTTGACTAGCTCGTTGATCAATAGATGGTTACGGTTTTCTGACCATGGACATTGGATGTCATTGATAACGGGATCACATCATTAGGAGAATGATGTGATGGACAAAGACCCAATCCTAAGCCTAGCACAAGATCATGTAGTTCGTATGCTAAAGCTTTTCTAATGTCAAGTACCATTTCCTTAGACCATGAGATTGTGCAACTCCCGGATACCGTAGGAATACTTTGGGTGTGCCAAACGTCACAATGTAACTGGGTGGCTATAAAGGTACACTACAGGTATCTCCGAAAGTGTCTGTTGGGTTGGCACGAATCGAGACTGGGATTTGTCACTCCGTGTAAACGGAGAGGTATCTCTGGGCCCACTCGGTAGGACATCATCACAATGTGCACAATGTGATCAAGGAGTTGATCACAGGATGATGTGTTACGAAACGAGTAAAGAGACTTGCCGGTAACGAGATTGAACAAGGTATCGGGATACCGACGATCGAATCTCGGGCAAGTATCGTACCGCTAGACAAAGGGAATTGTATACGGGATTGATTAAGTCCTTGACATCGTGGTTCATCCGATGAGATCATCATGGAACATGTGGGAGCCAACATGGGTATCCAGATCCCGCTGATGGTTATTGACCGGAGAGTCATCTCGGTCATGTCTGCATGTCTCCCGAACCCGTAGGGTCTACACACTTAAGGTTCAGTGACGCTAGGGTTATAGAGATATTAGTATGTGGTAACCAGAAAGTTGTTCGGAGTCCCGGATGAGATCCCGGACGTCACGAGGAGTTCCGGAATGGTCCGGAGGTAAAGATTTATATATGGGAAGTCTTGTTTTGGTCGCCGAAAAAGTTTCGCGCATTATCGGTATTGTACTGGGAGTGCCGAAAGGGGTCCGGGGGTCCACCAAAGGGGTCCACCTGTCCCGGGGGGCCACATGGGCTGTAGGGGTGTGCGCCTTGGCCTATATGGGCCAAGGGCACCAGCCCCAAGAGGCCCATGCGCCAAGAGATAAGGGAAAGGAAGAGTCCTAAAGGGGGAAGGCACCTCCGAGGTGCCTTGGGGAGGATGGACTCCTCCCTGGCCGCACCCTTCCGTGAAGGAAGGGACAGGGCTGCGCCCCCCTATCCCTTGGCCCTATATATAGTGGGGGGAAGGGAGGGCAGCAACACCTAAGCCCTGGCGCCTCCCTCTCCCTCCCATGACACATCTCCCTCCTCCCGCAGCGCTTGGCGAAGCCCTGTTGGAATCCCGCTACTTCCACCACCACGCCGTCGTGCTGCTGGATCTCCATCAACCTCTCCTCCCCCCTTGCTGGATCAAGAAGGAGGAGACATTGCTGCTCCGTACGTGTGTTGAACGTGGAGGTGCCGTCCGTTCGGCGCTAGGATCATCGGTGATTTGGATCACGACGAGTACGACTCCATCAACCCCGTTCCCTTGAACGCTTCCGCGCGCGATCTACAAGGGTATGTAGATCCACTCCTCCCTCGTTGCTAGATGACTCCATAGATTGATCTTGATGACACGTAGGAAAATTTTGAATTATTGCTACGTTCCCCAATAGTGGCATCATGAGCTAGGTCTATGCGTAGTTTCTATGCACGAGTAGAACACAAAGTAGTTGTGGGTGTTGATTTTATTCAATATGCTTACCGTTACTAGTCCAATCTTGATTCGGCGGCATCGTGGGATGAATCGGCCCAGACCAACCTTACACGTACGCTTACGTGAGACCGGTTCCACGGACTGACATGCACTAGTTGCATAAGGTGGCTAGCGGGTGTCTGTCTCTCCCACTTTAGTCGGACCGGATTCGATGAAAAGGGTCCTTATGAAGGGTAAATAGCAATTGGCATATCACGTTGTGGTCTTTGCGTAAGTAAGAAACGTTCTTGCTAGAAACCCATAGCAGCCACGTAAAACATGCAAACAACAATTAGAGGACGTCTAACTTGTTTTTGCAGGGTATGCCATGTGATGTAATATGGCCAAGAAGAATGTGATGAATGATATGTGATGTATGAGATTGATCATGTTCTTGTAATAGGAATCACGACTTGCATGTCGATGAGTATGACAACCGGCAAGAGCCATAGGAGTTGTCTTAATTTATTTATGACCTGCGTGTCAACATAAACGTCATGTAATTACTTTACTTTATTGCTAACCAGTATCCATAGAAGTAGAAGTAATAGTTGGCGAGACAACTTCATGAAGACACGATGATGAAGATCATGGTGTCATGCCGGTGACGATGATGATCATGGAGCCCCGAAGATGAAGATCAAAAGGAGCAATATGATATTGGCCATATCATGTCACTATTTGATTGCATGTGATGTTTATCATGTTTATACATCTTATTTGCTTAGAACGACGGTAGTAAATAAGATGATCCCTCATTAAAATTTCAAGAAAGTGTTCCCCCTAACTGTGCACCGTTGCGAAATTTCGTCGTTTCGAAGCACCACGTGATGATCGGGTGTGATAGATTCTTACGTTCGAATACAACGGGTGTTGACGAGACTAGCATGTACAGACATGGCCTCGGAACACATGCGAAACACTTAGGTTGACTTGACGAGCCTAGCATGTACAAACATGACCTTGGAACACAAGAGACCGAAAGGTCGAGCATGAGTCGTATGGTAGATATGATCAACATGAAGATGTTCACTGATGATGACTAGTCCGTCTCACGTGATGATCGGACACGGCCTAGTTGACTCGGATCATGTAATCACTTAGATGACTAGAGGGATGTCTATCTGAGTGGGAGTTCATAAGATGAACTTAATTATCCTGAACATAGTCAAAAGGTCTTCGCAAATTATGTCGTAGCTCGCGCTTCAGTTCTACTGTTTAGTTATGTTCCTAGAGAAAATTTAGTTGAAAGTTGATAGTAGCAATTATGCGGACTAGGTCCGTAAACTGAGGATTGTCCTCATTGCTTCATAGAAGGCTTATGTCCTTAATGCACCGCTCAGTGTGCTGAACCTCCAACGTTGTCTGTGGATGTTGCGAACATCTGACATACACATTTTGATAACTACGTGATAGTTCAGTTAAACGGTTTAGAGTTGAGGCACCGAAGACGTGTTAAAACATCGCGAAACATATGAGATGTTTCGAGGGCTGAAATTGGGATTTTCAGGCTCGTGCCCACGTCAAGAGGTATAAGACCTCCGAGAATTTTCTTAGCCTGCAAACTAAGGGAGAAAAGCTCAATTGTTGAGCTTGTGCTCAGATTGTCTGAGTACAACAATCGCTTGAATCAAGTGGGAGTTGATCTTCCAAATGAAATAGTGATAGTTCTCCGAAGTCATTACCACCAAGCTGCTAGAGCTTCGTGATGAACTATAATGTATCGGGGACATATATGATGATCCTTGAGATATTCGCGATGTTTGACACCACAAAAGTAGAAATCAAGAAGGAGCATCAATTGTTGATGGTTTGTGAAACCACTAGTTTCAAGGAGGGCAAGGGCAAAAAGGGATGCTTCATGAAACGGCAAATCAGTTGCTGCTCTAGTGAAGAAACCCAAGGTTGAACCCAAACCCGAGACTAAGTGCTTCTGTAATAAGGGGAACAGCCACTGGAGCAGAATTACCCTAGATACTTGGTAGATGAGAAGGCTGTCGATAGAAGTATATTGGATATACATTATGTTAATGTGTAC